CATTTTCTCTGCTAGCGGATTCCTATACCAGATCCACGAGGCAGCAAATGTAACTGCTTCCACGAGGGAGGAAATACTGCTCATACACCGTCCTCCGTTACGCCGGCCTTACTTGTCCCATCTCCTCCTCTGTCTGGTGCTTGGTAGAAAACATGCTGCTCTTTATCCTTTTCCTCCTCATCTCTCCACTTATTGCCTCTAAAATTTTGAGTTGAGGGGAAATACGGCACTTCCTGCCCACCCTCCCACAAGACCTACTGCCCAACATACACCCCTGCCCCAGGCTTCGGAAGGTGTCAAGTCACTGTTGCCGAGTCCTCGGTGGTGCACACAAATTCCATAGAGCCAGTTTCATCCGAAAGGGAAAGGTTCATCTGGAGAGACGACTCCCTCCCTGAGCACTCTGAATCCCGGCACACAGGATATCCTCTGCTGCGGTTATATATTGCTCAGACTCGTGTCTCATCCTCTGCGGAGACTGAGGTTCTGCTACAAAAAAACAGAAACATAGAAGAGCCCAATGTACTTCAGCACCTCAGGGTATGCGTTGTCTGGGAAATTCTCCGATAATAAAGTTGGAATCATTGTAGAACTGACCAGAACAATAACTGTGACGATAATGGGACTGATCACATAACACCGACACATTCTGTAAGCTACTGATGGGGTGAATGATGGAGCCCATCACTGTAACCATGAGGAGGATAGCCAAGGTGGTGGCAATGGGAATATTCTGTGTGACATTTGCATTGATTCCACGTACTGAGCTCATTCCCATCACCAATGGAGAACTCTCTATGAACCAAGCTCATTCCCATCACCAATGGATGACTCTCTATGAACCGAGCTCATTCCCATCACCAATGGATGACTCTCTATGACCCGAGCTCATTCCCATCACCAATGGAGGACTCTCTATGACCCGAGCTCATTCCCATTTCCAATGGAGGACTCTCTATGAACCGAGCTCACTCCCATCACCAATGGAGGACTCTCTATGAACCAAGCTCATTCCCATCACCAATGGAGGACTCTCTATGAACTGAGCTCATTCCCATCACCAATGGAGGACTCTCTATGAACCGAGCTCATTCCCATCACCAATGGAGGACTCTCTATGATCCGAGCTCATTCCCATCACCAATGGAGGACTCTCTATGAACTGAGCTCATTCCCATCACCAATGGAGGACTCTCTATGAACCGAGCTCATTCCCATCACCAATGGAGGACTCTCTATGATCCGAGCTCATTCCCATCACCAATGGAGGACTCTCTATGACCCGAGCTCATTCCCATCACCAATGGAGGACTCTCTATGAACCGAGCTCATTCCCATCACCAATGGATGACTCTCTATGACCCGAGCTCATTCCCATCACCAATGGAGGACTCTCTATGAACCGAGCTCATTCCCATTTCCAATGGAGGACTCTCTATGAACCGAGCTCATTCCCATCACCAATGGAGGACTCTCTATGATCCGAGCTCATTCCCATCACCAATGGAGGACTCTCTATGACCTGAGCTCATTCCCATCACCAATGGAGGACTCTCTATGAACTGAGCTCATTCCCATCACCAATGGAGGACTCTCTATGAACTGAGCTCATTCCCCTCACCAATGGAGGACTCTCTATGACCCGAGCTCATTCCCAGATTAATTATAAAAGAACACGACTCAGAACAGGATGTTGTATTGTGTAGAACTTTCTGGTTTATTGTAGAACGTCAGAATACATGACACACAATACAATGAAGTTTGACTTAAAATCTTAAGTATCTAAAGTAAAAAATATATGAACAATTCTATGTTGGCCGGACCAATGAAAATCCAGGAAAACAAAGATCAATGAGGTGCAGCAGCCAATAGGAATCTACATACAGAGCGGTCTATGGGTTCTCATACTTGGCCATGTATTAGTTGTATGGGGCCGTCTGTGTGAGTGCGGGAAAAGTCAGCACTGTGTGTTTAGAGGAGCAGATTAGTAGAATGGAATCCCTGCAGATCCATAACTATCACATGACACCCCGAAAACTTTCCATACCTCCCCATACTGGTAATAGGTCTACCTACCTCCCCTCCCCCGGAAAATCTTGAGCTTGTTGGGTTCCAATCATTCCCGGGCATTGTTCTGTCTCTTGAGTTCTGGGGTCTACATACCCCACTGAGCCCTTTACAATGAGCTCCCTACTCTCCATGCTGGATTTTTATTTCATATTGTGGAGAATGTAAAATGATGAATGAGGACGCCCCAATGTGTGTATCGGGGGGGGGGAGGGGGGGGTTGGAGCCGAGAACTGCACCATTGGAGCCTTCCACCTGTTACCTTCCCCGGTACATTTCTCAACAGCGTCAGAAGCTGAGTGTTCTCTGATGTCGTAGTAATTTCTTTTATGTTAATACATTTTATACACTATGAACATTAAAAAAGGACACTAACCCGTGTGACTTCTGTGGTGTAATAGAAGTTTTCCTTTCTCAGTAAAACATTTTCCACACACTGAACATGAGAAAGGGCGGTCACCAGTATGAATTTTCTGGTGTTTGACAAGGCCTCCCTTGTGAATGAAACGTTTCCCACACTCTGAACAAGAATAGGGACGCTCACCGATGTGTCCTTTTTGGTGCTGAACAAGGCCTCCTTTGTGAACAAAACGTTTCCCACACTCTGAACATGAGTAAGGACGCTCGCCAGAGTGACTTCTCTGATGTGTGAGAAGCGTCTTTTTTAGAATGAAACTTTTCCCGCACACGGAGCATGAAAACGGACGCTCACCCGTGTGACTTCTCTGGTGATTTAAAAGGTCTCCTTTCAAAGTAAAAGAATGCCCACACTCTAAACATGAAAAAGGACGCACCCCCGTGTGGATTCTCTGGTGTTTAATAAGGTTTCCTTTTTGACTGAAGCGCTTCCCGCACTCTGAACATGAATAAGGACGCTCGCCCGTGTGACTTCTCTGGTGCAACAGAAGTTTTTCTTTATCAGCGAAACGTTTCCCACACACTGAACATGAGAATGGACGCTCCCCTGTGTGACTTTTCTGGTGTTTAACAAGACCTCCTTTGTAAGTGAAACTTTTCCCACACTCTGAACATGAATAAGGACGCTCCCCCGTATGACTTCTCTGGTGTGTAAGAAGCGTCTTTTTCAGAATGAAACATTTGCCGCAAACTGAGCATGAATGAGGACGTTCACCCGTGTGACTCTTCTGGTGATTCAGGAGGTCTCCTTTCGCAGTGAAAGAATGACCGCACTCTGAGCATGAAAAAGGGCGCACGCCCGTGTGAATTTTCTGGTGTTTAACAAGGTTTCCTTTTTGACTAAAACGTTTTCCGCACTCTGAACATGAGAAAGGGCGCTCCCCCGTGTGAATCCTCTCGTGTATTAAAAGGTTTCCCCTCAAAGTGAAACTTTTTCTGCACTCTGAACATGAATAAGGACGCTCACCCTTGCGACTTTTCTGGTGCGTAAGAAGGTCTTTGTTTTCAGTGAAACTTTTCCCACACGCTGAACGTGACACTGGACTCTCTCCTGTGTGATCTCCTTTATGGCTTGTAGAAGATTCCTCAGGATTAGAGGGAACCATCGAACTCTCTGAATGGGAAGGTCGGTGATGCCTGTTATGAGTAATGGGATTCTCTCCTTCAAAGGTATTCCTGTTTCGAGCACAGTGTCCATCTGTAGGAAAGCAATGATGAATGTATTACTATGAGAAACCACCTCGAATCTAGGAAACCTACTGAAGACCAGAGATGGACCTTCATATGGTGTCCAGTATCTCCTCATCATTTGTTGGTCACATGACGTTATATTGAGGAATGGAGATGGACCTTCATATGGTGTACAGTATCTCCTCCTCATTTGTTGGTCACATGACGTTATATTGAGGAATGGAGATGGACCTTCATATGGTGTACAGTATCTCCTCCTCATTTGTTGGTCACATGACGTTATATTGAGGAATGGAGATGGACCTTCATATGGTGTACAGTATCTCCTCCTCATTTGTTGGTCACATGACATTATATTGTGGGATGGAGATGGACCTTCATATGGTGTACAGTATCTCCTCCTCATTTGTTGGTCACATAACGTTATATTGAGGAATGGAGATGGACCTTCATATGGTGTACAGTATCTCCTCCTCATTTGTTGGTCACATGACGTTATATTGAGGAATGGAGATGGACCTTCATATGGTGTACAGTATCTCCTCCTCATTTGTTGGTCACATGACGTTATATTGAGGAATGGAGATGGACCTTCATATGGTGTACAGTATCTCCTCCTCATTTGTTGGTCACATGACGTTATATTGAGGAATGGAGATGGACCTTCATATGGTGTACAGTATCTCCTCCTCATTTGTTGGTCACATGACGTTATGTTGAGGAATGGAGATGGAATAGATCAGGGGGAATACACAGAGAATCAATTTGGTGCTCCAAACCAGGACAGAGAATAACCTCCAAGAGGAGATCCCACCCGAAGGCACAATGGACCCCCCCACCAGCAACAGACCATAGGGCCAACCTACAATGACCTAAAAGCAAGAAAACAAAACACTTCTCGAATGGGAGGAAATCAGACCAAACAATGAGATGTGGTCAAGGGGAGAAAACTCACTGGGCCAAACCCCAAGAAAACGAGTTCCTAAAGGGAAGTTTAAACCAAACAAGTCTAAAAGAGGAGACCAGCCGGTCAACAGCAGAAAGCTCCAGGCTGGCGATCCTAACCCTTGGAATTTAGGGAAAGGAGAGGATCCATGAAAGAGGTTCCCTGAACAGAAAGCCGATCTCACAAAAAGATCACAATGATTGTGAGAACCGTCCCAGCATATTAACCCAAAGGATAGAAAAAAAAAAACGACCTCCCAAGACTGGTAGAAAAACCAAAAAGTACCAACCGTGAAGTCCACCTAAAGGAGCAGTAGGTTAGAGGAACCAAGACTGGTGCAAATAAAACCCACCAGAATCAGGAGGATGAATCAGACTCCACCAGAAGCATGAGGATACACCAGTCAGAGAAGTCCTCCTGGGGTGAGGGGAAGATATGGCCTCTTCCCCAGCCAAAGACTGTCAAATCTTGTCTAGGACTTCTTGGTCCAAGGAGACCAGTTGGGATGTCTCAACCAGAGTCCGAGTTCCAAAACATAGAAGGCAAGGCTGAAAAAGAGAGTCCATGTGAGAAGGGAAACCCATACTAGAAAGACACGCGCGAACCACCCCACAATCCCTGAAAGGTGAAGATGGGGGAATTTCAGTGACAGATATGGAAGGGTTCAAAGGTCTACAGGAGTGGACTTTCTTAGCAAGGACCTGAGCTGGGCAGGTCCACTCGGTGACCCGAGATTACCAGCATTAGGTGCTTTGTACAGATGAGGTCTGCAGATGATGGGGCCTTCAAAAGGGGCTCAGACTGCACAAGTCCAAACAACTGACCTTCTATAGGGAGGGTCGTCTGAATGGAATGGTCACGAGCCCTCCTCGAAGAGAGTACTTTTCTGGACGAGAGTGGACATCAGGGGCCAGGTCTGTTAGCAGGGCCCAGTGCTGCTGGAGGACACTAAAGGGTCAAGTAGGAAGGGAGCATTAGCGACTGGTCCCTGTTGACCTTGTAGCCCAAAAGGTCCTTCAGAAGAGGGGTTCGACTGAAGAGTATCAAGTACCACGAAGCATACAACCACATAGGAGAACATCTCATGTAGGGAGTCCAAATGGGATCCAAGGATAAGCTCCGACCTCAGTAGGAATCAGGGGCCTCAGGGTGCGGAGAACCCAAACAAACCTGGGAAGATGCACAATGAAATGTAGTCAATATCAGAAGAGTAAAGAGGTCTAGCTGACGGAGATCTCTGACTCAAAGGTCAAGGCTGAAGAGCCTTCAGAACTGAGCACTCAAATGCTGAGAAGGTCATCTACTCAAGGACCCAGGTGGATGAACATCTGCCATTGAGCCACATGGTCTCAGGGAAATGGAAGCTCCGAGTGCCTACAGGATACTACCACTGAAGTAGATGAGTAGAAGGATGGGGTTTCTCCACCCCTTTCACAGACCTGTTTCGAGGCTGGAGCACACTCTGACCAACAATGGCAATGCTAATGAGCATGTCAAGAGCAGGTCTCAAGAGATAACACAAAGGATAACCAAGTCAGATTTTTTGGAGCTCTCCCAGGCACATAGCCAGAATGTTCTATGAAAGGAATACGAGACACAAGTTTAGATGCTTGCAACAAGTAATCGCAACAATGGCCCAAAGCTCCAACCACTCTATGAAACGAGGACCTACGCCAGCCATAGAGGGATCCTCTCTGAGGGACGTAACCCGATTGGTACTATGTCTAATGAGGAGCATCTAGAGTGGGAAGTGACCACCAAGTAATTCCCTCTCAAAGGAGGAAAGTTCCGTCACACTCTGAAGAGGGCCCAGGATCCTATAGGGTGTGTCCAGTCCTCATAGAGGAATTACCGAAATAGAGCTCAGTGGGAAGGTCTTTGCAGAAATCTTTACCCTGGTCAGGAAAATTGGGCCACGATTTACATGAATTTTCTGCCTCCCCCCCCCCGATTAACAGCACTTTGGTTGGTATGTATGTAATTTTTCCACTCAAGGAACAATATTAAAAAATTTATGGAAATGGAAATTTAGTATTTATGACGTACTTGTGTCCATACGTAGAGAGGATTCCTCCTGTTCACTCTTCACCATCATCTCCTCCTCCTCCATGGACTGCTGAGCTCCACCCACCAACGTCTCTTCTTCTTCCTCTTTCACCTCAACTTTGATGTCTTCCAGTTCTTCTCCCTGAACCCAAATATGACAGAACACATAAAAAGGAACACAAGAAGAATGTCCTCTCATAGGTCAACATCTATTTTTCAGTCTCCATTCTCAGTCCCATATACCTGATCATGGCGGGGGACAGTGAGATCTTCCTGTCAGCTCCATCATCTTCTTGGTGACTTCTAGAACCTTCTTGGCTCTGGTCACCTCTGTGGTCTGGCCGTGAGGTGAAGGCACCATAATGGATGATGTCCTGTGATGGCACCTTAATGGCTCATCAGATATTTTCTCCACTACTTTATAATCCTGTGTAAAGAGAGAATTAAAAATTATCACTACAGAATACCCAGAATCCTCCTCACCCCCACCGGTCAGGTCTGTGTGTTATGAATAGAGATCAGAGTGATGTCATGTGACCTCCCAGAATCCTCCTCACCCCCACCGGTCAGGTCTGTGTGTTATGAATAGAGATCAGAGTGATGTCATGTGACCTCCCAGAATCCTCCTCACCCCCACCGGTCAGGTCTGTGTGTTATGAATAGAGATCAGAGTGATGTCATGTGACCTCCCAGAATCCTCCTCACCTCTCCGGTCAGCAGATGGATGATCTCCAGGGTGAGGTCTAATATCCTCTCAGTCATGTGACTTTGGTCTTCCTCCATTCTTATTGGTGTGGTCATGTGATCTATACAGGATGCGATTCTCTGCGGACAGATAATAAAGTGAGAATGATCTGGACTGTACCGGGATCAATAATATCTGCACAGAGTTCCGATAATCGTTCTGACATCTCAGACGGCCTCATAAATGGCTCTATATTTAGGATGTATCCGGTCTATAAATGGCGGCTCTGGATGGACAGTTGGATAAATGGCTCTATATTTAGGATGTATCTGGTCTATAAAGGCGGCTCTGGAGGGACAGTCGGATAAATGGCTCTATATTTAGGATGTATCTGGTCTATAAAGGCGGCTCTGGAGGGACAGTCGGATAAATGGCTCTATATTTAGGATGTATCTGGTCTATAAAGGCGGCTCTGGAGGGACAGTCGGATAAATGGCTCTATATTTAGGATGTATCTGGTCTATAAAGGCGGCTCTGGAGGGACAGTCGGATAAATGGCTCTATATTTAGGATGTATCTGGTCTATAAAGGCGGCTCTGGAGGGACAGTCGGATAAATGGCTCTATATTTAGGATGTATCTGGTCTATAAAGGCGGCTCTGGAGGGACAGTCGGATAAATGGCTCTATATTTAGGATGTATCTGGTCTATAAAGGCGGCTCTGGAGGGACAGTCGGATAAATGGCTCTATATTTAGGATGTATCTGGTCTATAAAGGCGGCTCTGGAGGGACAGTCGGATAAATGGCTCTATATTTAGGATGTATCTGGTCTATAAAGGCGGCTCTGGAGGGACAGTCGGATAAATGGCTCTATATTTAGGATGTATCTGGTCTATAAAGGCGGCTCTGGAGGGACAGTCGGATAAATGGCTCTATATTTAGGATGTATCTGGTCTATAAAGGCGGCTCTGGAGGGACAGTCGGATAAATGGCTCTATATTTAGGATGTATCTGGTCTATAAAGGCGGCTCTGGAGGGACAGTCGGATAAATGGCTCTATATTTAGGATGTATCTGGTCTATAAAGGCGGCTCTGGAGGGACAGTCGGATAAATGGCTCTATATTTAGGATGTATCTGGTCTATAAAGGCGGCTCTGGAGGGACAGTCGGATAAATGGCTCTTGTTGTGCGTGTAGTGGTATCTTCTGGAGATAGAAGACGTCACAGTGACTAGAGAG